GTCTGATTAGTGAAGAAGAAATTGAGGTAAAATGCCTCTATAAAATTGCCAGCTCAGACAAAGATTTAAGATAGACTGTGGAAAAAAAGAAGTAGCTTGCCTTTATATCGATGAAAATAATAAAATACAGTTAAAGGAGACACACGACTATTATTATCAGGTACCTACCAAAAGCCCATAAAAACCTGTCTTTCATTATTTTACTTTTATTATATCAAAATCATTACCGCATTGCAGTATTATACAGTGTGCGCCTAAAGTATGCAGTAAATTTAGTAAGAGTTCAACAATGAAAATATCTCTCAAAATCAAGAAAAAAAAATAGGGGGTTGCCATTAAAAAAAAAGTTGATGACGTCATTACTCAAAAACAAATGATTGAATATCGAGTTTTATGTTAAAATGTGTATTTTTATCAAATAAAACCGATGTGTTCAAAGATTTTTTGCCAAAAAATTCTATTTCGGTTTTACTGAATTTATTCCATAGGTATGTACCTACTTTAGGCGCAGACTATATAACTCCTTATTATGTTTTAGGTCCAAGGGCAACTATCAATCACAAAAGCAAATACGTGTTATTTTGTTATATACGGTGGTGATCATAATTATTTATTCAAGAAGTAAGATGAGATAATGCCTTCTGGCAAAATATTTTACCAAGATTGGTAAAATTTTATATGGACTGTATGGACCAGATAATATTAAATAGCAGAGGGCAAAAAGGAAATGTAAAGACCCGGCTTATATATTGGAAGCCCAAAAGGAATTAAAAAAAAATAAACATTTTAAACTCAAAATGTTTTTTTTTTGTATTACACTAAGTAACTAAATATAAGCAAAAGTTGATTGTCAAGACAATATGAAATTAAAATCCTGTTAGTTATATTCATATTCAAGAATGTGTTAATTTTTTGGTCGTAATTTTTTTTAATTAAATATCCAGTGGTTTCCTTCTTAGCGGTAAGTAGCTACTGATTTGTAGATTGAAGAAGAAATCTACCTGAGCCAGGCTAATTTTTAAGCTGTAAATTTATTTTGAAGCTACCAAGGAAGTGGAACATAAATGTACATAAAATTTAATCTTTATTCTTAATAAAAAAAAATTAGTACATATTATTGTTTTTTTATACGTTACATTGTCGAACTATTGAAGCATTACAAAATCTTATTACATACTTTTAAAAAATTAGCCATACTTAGACCACAGCTTAATAATATACAGCTAGAAGAATCCGTGTCGGCACCTTTGATGTGGCGGTCGAGAACCAAGCGAGACGGAATCGTGCTAAGTCTCAGATTAAGCAGAATAGTCGGAGCTGGATTAAAAGAATTTTTATTATTGAAATAAAATATTTAGTTTCTACCTGACAGTACCGTAATAGGTAATTTTAATAATATGAAATTTGAATTAGAATATTACGTGGTATGACATTAAAAGTAGAAAATGGCTATTCTAGATTTGTACTTGGAGTTAATACGGATTATTAAAAGAAAACTTGAAGAGTAATTAAAATTCCTTGTTGTAAGCTCCTGTTTACTGACGTAATCCTTAGAGAAGAAAATGATTTAAATCGCGTTTTTTTCGAACAAAAAATCTTTAATATCTCGAAAACGGTAGATTTTAGAGAAAAGTTGCATATGAAATTTTTGGTCCAGGATACCTCAAAAAGCCTATAAAAATGTATTGTAGCGAAAAAATAGAAAATTATGAATTTGTTTAAAAAAAAATAGTTTAAACAATTTTCGACCATTAGTAATGTTTGGCAACATGCGGATATGTTTCAAGGGTCATTTTTTTAGTGATTATGATGACCCATAGGAAACGAGATATTTGCAATAAATGTGTAAAAAATCGATTTTTTGACCTTTGACCTTGGAATATCTACAATAAGTAGGTTTTGAGACAAGTTTTTAGGGTACCAAAATAAAGGTTTATACAAGTTTATAGCTGACTATCTCTCATTCCGAAATTCTTGCCCTTATTTGACTAATATTCCTGGACTATATGGGACATGCATTAGGTAAAGTTATTTACCTGAAATAAAATTTAATACAAACGAAAAACAAGAAATGCAAAATTAAATTTAAAGAATATTCTCGAAATAATTTCCATTTTGCCCCCAGCATAACCTAATACGTCTGTTGAAGTTATAACGCACTCCCACAAACAGTTCTTCGTTATTGCGAAAGTCATCTGCTGCCTGAAATATTCTTAAGCGTAGTTCTTCTAAGGAGGCAACAGGAGTGGCATAAACAATACTTTTTATGTGTTCCCACAAAAAGAAATCCATAGGCATTAGGTCAGGTTAACGCGCAGGCCAACAAACAGGGGCATCACGAACATGATCAATCCGGCGATTCGGGTAATTTAAATTTAACCTTTCTCTAACGGTAAGTGTACTATGTGCAGGTGCCCCATCGTGCAAAGACCACATCACCTGACGTGTAACGAGGGATAATGTTGGAAGATTTTCGTTCAAAAATCTAAGATACTCGGCCGCTCCAAAGGACCTACTAAGTATTTCCTACAATTCCCATCCAAACGTTTAAACTGAAATTATGTTGACATCTTGAAACAAAATATATTTCACGAGTATTTTTTTCCGACCATGAATGAACATTATGAAGGCACATATCTAACCCATATGCGACACTGAGAGAGATAAGGCTACTTCGTGCAACACGAATGGAGATACATCCAAGTTAAAGGGACTGAACGCATGCGTATTTCCAAACAGAACAGCTGTGTGACAACGTAAGATGATATTTTCAGGTTTACTATTATTTCGGCAATAAACAGAATAAATATGAAATACAAAACTTTAAGGATATATAAATTTTGTAGAGTAAAATAGAATGTTTGATTATTTTGCCCATAAAATGATGCTGCTCCTATGAACGGTTTTTATCTGCGAATTAAATACATTACCGATGAAGCCTGAATACTTCCGAACATATTTTATCTCCGCGTGGTTTCTGTTAGTGACGTTACGTTAAATCATATAATAGCCATTTTGTAAACATTGTTGCCGTTAGCTGTATTGGAGTGTTTTAAAAAGTTGTTTACAGTGGATTTATAGTTATTTATTTTTAAAACTTTGGCGTTTTTATTAACAATTATTTGCAGTTGCAAAGAATGTCTAAATCAGTATCGGAAATGCAAGAAAGAAAATAAAAACATACATTTTTTTCGCTTTCCTAAAGAAGAACAATTAATTGTATAATTATTAAGTACTTTTTATATAGATAAATTTAAATTTCTTATAAAAATTGTTTAAAAATTCAATTTTTATAATATAAATTGTTCTTTTAAATGTCGATAGAAAAATGTGGACGCCCAGAATTAATAATGCATGGATAAAACGATTTCAAATTTACATAACTAGTGTAACACCATTTGGAAGTTTACTATCCCTAAAATGACATATTTTCTATATTCTTTACTCTAACTGAGCTATTTAATAAAATAACTTGTAATTCTGCGAATTTACTACTACATAAAATCTATCAATCAAAATTTTAGTAAACCTCTAATAAAAAAAATGAAAAATTAAATATGTGTAATTTTACATTTAATACATATATAGCAATTTTACTTTAATACATTAGTTATCTAATTTATCATCCCGTTTAGACAGACACTTTATTAATTAAGTGAAAATTGTGATAAATGTAGGTGTAAGTATTTTATGTTCATGTTTATTCAATATTTCGAACCGACAACACTTTCTTCAGATATAAATTTTTATTGCCCAATCTGGCAACGTTTAGCATCCAATTTAAAGGGACGAGGTCAACAGCGGCATTTACGCCACATCAAAGGAGTGTCGCATATGGGTTAGATATGTGATGAAGGTTTACTGCACCTACTCTGGGAAAATTTGCTTCATCGGTAAAAAGTATATTTATTAGGAAATTTATGTCATGCCTGGAAATATTAATGTACCATTGACAAAAATCCACGTGGTTAGGTAAATCAGGGTCATTCAATTCTTACACGGGTTGATGGTGAAAAGGGTATAAAAGACTTTCCTGAGCTACATTCCACACAAGACTGTGAGAAACTTGCAGTTGCCTGGACACCTGTCTTGTGCTTGTACCACAGTCTTGTTCTAGATGTTCCAGTATAGCTTCCTCAGTTTCAATAGTTAGGACATTACGCCTTCTTCCAGCACCCTCACGATTGGGCTGAATTTTACCAGTTTCGCGAAGCATTCTTTCCACCAAGGCCAATGTTTGTCTATGGGGAATCGGTGGGTTTGGATATCTTTGGTGGTATGATCTTACTGCAGCGTTACTATTTTTTATGGATTCGAAAAACACTTGGACATATTCGTCATTGGTATAAATATTATTTGCCATAATTATTCTGATAATAAATTAATCAATTCGTACTAATTATTGGTTGACTGTCTATCTATACGGATTATCGAAAGGGTAAACAATCCCGTAAAAATTTCAATAAGTCTCGAAGCTATTAAAATGAGAGAGTCTGAAGAAAAAAACGCATAGCAAACCTAAGTAGGTATTTATTTTCAGGAGATTCCGAATAGTGCAATTACTGAGAACACACTACGTAGCTCTTTCTAGTAAATCCATCCTCCTTTAAATTAATAACGAACCGCTATGTAATGTCAATGCACACTATGAATTTGTAGAGAATTGCTTGGATGGTAGCGACTTTAAGTTGACGCCGATTGTACTCCCTTAGTATACCTAATTAGTTGCATATGAAAATAGATTTGTAAGAAAATTTCTTAAATAATATTAATTAGGTATGTTATGATGTAAAATAAAAAAAACTAAAAGGAAACTTTTGCAATACTATCAAAAACTGCAGAGGAGTCTTAGTCTTCTCTACCTCCTCTAACGAGCCGCCACTGCGCACTGATGACAAGGCAAAAGAAGGTAACTAACAGACACAAGAATGTCCAAATATAGCGGCACTTAATTTTATAATATTTATTTAATTTTCAATTAATAAGTTTAGTATGTAATTTCACGATTTTTCTGTAAGAATTACTAGTTTTTACTGGAATTACATTCAATGGACTTACCATTATTAGAACGGTTCTGAGACCGTGTACGTGGTCTTATCGGCGAACTGTCATGCTGAATAGTTGAAGCTGGCTTTTTTTTTGTTCTTTTTCTAATAGCACCATGGGATGATTTCTCAGCAGGATCTTGAGTCAATTCAGCTCCCTCACAGGGCAGTTCAGTTTCGCATTTGTCGCCTTTATCCGCAAGACCTTGACATTCGATGCAAGTTGAATTATTTTCGGGGTTGAAACTCAAAGTTTCTTCTGTCGGAACATTTAGATTTACATTCTTAGACAAACTCATTGTTTCAGCCATTGCAGAAAATACCGGTGGCAACACGTTAGAAGTAGAGGCTATCGCAGTCGTGGCTGTAGACAGTACAGGAATCTGGGTAACCGACAGAACTGGTTGCGAAGTAAGTGCTCTGGTTGTAGGTAGTGGATCCGAGTTATTTGTAGTTGGGGTAGTTGTAATAGAGGGCGTCAAAGTGAAGAGGCTTTGGGTGGTGTTGGCGGTTGCAGAAACGGTCTTGGGGGCTTCCCCTATCGACTGACTGATCTGAGTGACTGTATGTGACAGAGTACCTGTAAGAAATGCATCAGAGTTATTAGTTTTTGATAATTACTAGAAGTTGCTGGCTATGACCCTTCCCAGTGACAATTGATGACGACTTTTTTACATTGTAATACAGTAGAACCTCGATTATCCTTGCGCGGGGCGAAAAAAGTGCGCAAAAATAAAAACCAAGAGGAATCTCTGCTTGTTTGTCTTATACTATACATATTATTTACTTACGCAATCTACCATTTGGTTAGTGCACATGCAAAAATTTACTGATTTTTTCAACTAAATTTTGCATATTAACATCTTGTTGAACATATAATGTACCTAATGTTTGTACCTATGCAATTAGGTACATACATATGTATCAACCTTTTTGTGTTTTATTGTACATATGTATGTATATGTGTATGTAATAGGTTATGTGTAATAAAGTTCTTATTTTTTGCAAAATTGGCGAGTTTGAGCGTTATTTCGATTATCCAGCAACGGTTCGGTCCTGGCCGACCCGGATAATCGAGGTTCTACTGTACGAGCCCAGGCTCATAATAGTTCGGCCGGCCCACCTTTTCAACTAAATACTTTAATAATCTATGAATTATGCAGAAATAACGAAATATTTCTGAAAATCCTTTTAACTACAGTAAAATATAAACTTTTTATATTTACAAAAGTGAACATTTTATTCAATACATATATCGACTAATGGTTACACAATAGAAAACTTTATCCGTCTCAGGGGTCATAAAAGTTCGGCCACTCTTTAATATTGAGTTACATCGCCTTTGTTCTTAATAACTGCTTTAATTCTGCTAGACATTGTATTTACTAACAAAGCACATTCTTCTGGTAGAATATTATCCCAAATATTCAGTACTGTGACTTTTAATTCAGGCACTGAACGTGCTGGATGTTTCCGAAGCTGTTTTTTCATATTGTGCCATAAGGTCTCAATAGGAGATAAATCTGGGCTGGAAGACGTCCATTTTAATACTGGTATTTGATGATTCTGCAACCACGTTTTAATAGTTTTTGCCGTATGATACGGTGCACCGCCTTGTTGGAATATGAAATGCCCTTCCGCCGTTTGACACATCTCAACAGATGGTAACAGACTCTCTTCCAGAATATCTCTGTACTTCTGCGCGTTAACAATTCCATCAACAAAATGCAGTTTACCAACACCTCTACCAGACATGCAACCCCAGACCATAACAGATGCTGGAAACTTTACTTTTTTGACTAAACAATCGCTATGATAGGCCTCTGAAGGTGTACGCAAAACCCGTTTTCGTGTGTCACCTACACAAACGTCAAATTTTGACTCATCGCTCCAAATTACGCTGTGCCATTGTTGATTCGTCCAATTTTTATGTTCTCGTGCCCATTTTAACCTATTTCTCCTCTGCAGTTTTGTTAATTGAGGTTTTTCTTTTGCCTATTGGAAAAAAATAAAAAATTGCCAAGAATTTAAACAAGAAAAAAAAGATAAAAAGTTACCTTGTAAAACTTGAATCCTATTTTTCGAATAGTTCTTTTCGTTGTGGACATTGAAATAGGCTTTGCTATACTGTCCCTCCATAGTGCAGTTATTTCTTTAGTATTGGACCGCCGATTTCTTTTTACTATTCTGCGTAAAGCTCTTTTATTTGCTTCTGTAATTATAGATGGTCGGCCGGTTTTGACTTTTTGGTCGACTCCGTCGGTTCTTCTGTATAAATTAATAATATCTTGCACTGTAGAACGCGGAATTGAATGAGAAACTGATATTCGGCGGGCCGAAATACCTTTTTCATGGGCTTTTATAATAGAAACTCGTAAATCTTTACTTAGAGGTTTACCACGAGGCATTTTACGTTAAATCTGAAGCAAAACGTGGGTAAAACTAATAATGACAGACCTTTTGTTGAATTATTCAGTATGTGTTTTGTTTTGGAGAACTTATATCAGTTTCATGGCAGATATGATAAGAGGCCGAACTATAATGACCCATTGGTTGGATTGCATTTTTGTTAACTATGTTTTCCTCAATTTGAATTTTGTCAAAAGTGATTAAATTTAGTAAATTGATAGTCTATACTTTATTACAAGTGAGGTAGTTTTAAGGAAATCTTTCATCATTTTGGTAGAATTTGTAATTTATTCAAGTATTTAATTACAAACTTTGGCCGGTCGAACTATTATGAGCCTGGGTTCGTATATGACATACAATGTAAAAAACCATAATCTCACTGGGAAAGGTCGTAGTTAGCGACATCTAACCTATGGTAAAAAAAACTAATAAGATTTGACACCAAGATTTGATACACTATATCTAAAAAAACAAAAAATGATCTACAGTGTTTAGGAAAAAAATATTCTTATTTTTTTATGTTCCATCAGCTCTTGAATTTACTGGTTTTGTTAAATTATGAACGAAAGTTGGTGCGAATTCTATTAAAAAAAAAATAAATAAAAAAAAATTTAAATACCCTAAACTAACTTATATCAAAAATTCAGGCAAGTTGACCAAATTGTGATTTAAAGGCTCATTTAATTGGACAATAAACACAGTATGTAATTTCATGATTTTTCAAGAATTACTAGTTTTTACTGAATTACATTCGATGGACTTACCTTTACTTGTAGATGGTAAGCCCTGAGTGTGAGATGGTTCACCTAAAATTGGTTGGGCATAGCTAGCAGCGACGGAAGCAGAAGTCGACGGTAGCTGTTGGTTGGGTACAAATGGAAGAGTACCTGTGAGAAATGCGCCAGAGTTATTAGTTTTTGTTAATTACTAGAGGTTGCTGGCTATGACCCTTCCCAGTGACAATTGATGACGACTTTTTTACATTATTATATATGACATACAATGTAAAAAACCATAATCTCACTGGGAAAGGTCGTAGCTAGCGACCTCTAACCTATGGTAAAAAACTAATAAGATTTGACACTAAGATTTGTTACACTATATCTAAAAAACAAAAAATGACAGACCCACAGTGTTGAGGAAAAATATTCTTATTTTTGATGTTCCATCAGCTCTTGAATTTACTGGTTCTGTTAAATTATGAACGAAAGTTAGTACAAATTCTATTAAAAAAAAATTACTACTACGTTTACTTGAGCTTAAAAATCAATTTCTGACTAAATTTCTAAAGAAATAAAGTAGCATTTGAAATTCAATATTATGATCATAAAAATATTGCTGTAATTCCACAGCATATACAGACTGTCTCCTTTTTTGAAAAGCGAGTCAACTTTTTTTTTTCAAATGGCAATATAGTTTTTTTTTATTTATTATTGTGCAGAATTATATTCTGAATTCAATGATGTATATAAAGTCTACTTTTGTGAAACATGTATTACAGAAAAAAGATGAAAATATTAGTCAATACCGCGCATTATTAGCGCCCGGTCGTTTAATTGACAACAAACGTATTTTGTCTAATCATGTGTGCCTGGAAAACAAAAAATATTACAACAAGGGAAATAAACGTCATTTTAGCGTTCACGTCTCAGTTTTTCACGCACTGTATATCTTTGTAACTTCCATACGGGAAATTTCTAATAATGAAATGTATGGCTTGAATTTATGTTTTTTCAATATTGCATATACAGTTCTCTTTGATGCTCCAATATTATTAGAAATTTCCCGAATGGAAATTTTTGGATTTTCTTCAACGTTAAGAAGAACATTGAGCTCGATGTTTGCATTAAATTGGTGTTCTTCTTGCTTCGGTTTCTTAAAAGCACCATATTTCCTTAAATTTTCTTCAAGTCTTACAAATTTGAGTGGTTCTGGAACTTCTCTGTGAGCAAATAGTTCTTTGCAAAGGCGGACTGCGGCACCACGATTTTTATTACACTGAAAGTATACCTGGATCATATCCGTCAATTAATTATTACTCATATTTTGCACTGTTGAGCTTATTTCAATAAATAATCTACTGTAAATGCCATATAAAGATATACAATGCGTGAAAAACTGAGACGTGAACGCTAAAATGACGTTTATTTGCCTTGTTGTAATATTTTTTGTTTTCCAGGCACACATGATTAGTCAAAATACGTTTATTGTCAATTAAACGATCGGGCGCTAATGCGGTATTGACTAATATTTTTATGCTTTTTCTGTAATACATGTTTCACAAAAGTAGACTTTATATACATCATTGAATTCAGAATAGAATTCTACACAATAATAAATAAAAAAACCTATATTGCCATTTGAAAAAAAAAAGTTGACTATCGCTTTTCAAAAAAATAATAATAAATATGCCCCAAAAGGTGCATTCTATAGTGTATTCATGGCCATTTCATATAATTTTTTGTTTTTTAAAATCAGACTATAAATGACGGAGTTATGGCTTGCGGCGTTTTTTAGGAGACAGCCTGTATGTACTAATGTTAACAAATACCTGGTTGAGGTCCTCCATATATATGTCCTCCACTTTTTAACTCATTGATTTCTTTCTTTATCTCTTTCTTGAAAAGATCAAATTCATTCATAATATATTCCTTGAAATCCTTGATTGTTTGGTTATCAAGAATTGATTTTGCAACACTGCTGTCAGCGTCTTTTCTGGAAAAGAGAGAGCTGGACAAATGGTTGTTAATGTACATGTTCTCATTAGACTTTTCATCGCATTTGTTGTGTTTCGTAATATCAGGATCAATGCGGGACAAAAGGCTTTCTATCTTCTCGATTTCAGTACCAAGTTGACAGTTTAAGGGATGGGTTTTGTCAACTGCCGGTTTACGAAGTCTGTTCTCAGTGACATATAAGCAGTCCCTGGCCCGCGAGAGTAAGTTAATATTTTCACTGCTCATTTCCGATGTAACATTTTCTTTGTTCTGATTAGTTTTTATATCAAACATGCGTTTATAAATTTCTGACTGGTAAAAACTAGCGTAAGGATCTTCCAGTTGTTCGAATAGATGTAACGCTTCTTTATATTCCTTCTTCTTCATCAGCTGTATAGCTGTGAACAACTTCCCACTTTCAATGTAAGATGATGCCTCGGAAATAGATATATCTTTCCCTTTATATTCAAACAGTCTGTTATTAGAATACGTAATCATCTGATTATTTTTCACTTTCTCCAAAAACGGCATGGCAGTTTTCCAGTACATTTCAGCTCTGGCATCATTAAATTCGATTTCCGACTGTTTGGTAAGTTTCTTCGAACGTTCTTCAAATATTTTCGCTAAAGCCACTAATAATCTGACATCCAAACCGTGATGACCTATACATCTCACCACTTCGATGGCTTTAATTAGATACATATGAACTTCACCTATATTAACTTGTTCATTATTGTACATTTCATGAGCGATCGATATAAATTTTGACTGGTTTAGAGTGCTGAAATGGTCCGTTATACAGGCTGGTAAAACAGTAGGCCTATCGTGGTTGTAATGAATCAAATTTTTAGTATCCTCCATTTTGGACTTGGCACAGAGAATAGCACAATAAAGGAATGACTGAATATCGAGAATGTTTAATGCCTCCGGAGTACAATTGTTCAAATTTTTTATGGAATACTGGAGGTCTTCGAAAGATTTCACCTCCATGTTGCTTAACTGACTGTTTAGACCAAGCCAAATGTAGTGGTGTAGAGAATCGGGATAGACTAGCTGAGCAACTTCATCGAATTTTACTAAATCTAGAGGATCAGGCAATTTTATAACTGGCTCTAAGACTTGAAAGCTTGAAACGAAAAAACTTGTCGATATTTTGAGTTGTTGATCTCTTTTCACAAACACCTTCTTGTAGAGTTGTTCCCGCCACATTCCCGTTGAATACTGTGTTGCCTTTTCTAATACGATAGTCTTTCTATCCTTAGCAGCAGCTAGAAGGATGTGTCCCGTTTGTGAGCAACGATAAGAGGCTTCTTTGTGCCAGTGTTGTACAAGGCGTCTCCTATTTTCTGGAGATTGTATCAGCCACATACTCTGCAAGTCGGGGGGGCAGGAATGGTAAGCCGCTAACAAAACGGGAAGGGTTACATTGGAAGCCTCTTTGAACTGAATTAGATCCTTTTTAGCTTGTTTAAAAATGAGCGTGGCTAGATAGAAATATAACGGAGCGTGATAATGGCTCAAAAATACTGTTACTAATTGGCGATCTGGACATGTCTGAATATTCTGCGAGGCTTTAGACAGCATTTGATCGAAATTGAAGACTGCAGTTACATATTCGGTACTAGTTTTTACAGTGTCTAAGTGTTCATCCAAACTCAGGGCTACCAATCTATCCAGCACAGATACGGATAGGAACCAAAACTCCCAAGTGAGCTGAGAACTATATGTAAGGTCACTTTCAAACCTCACGAGAACTTCGGCAAATGTTTCGTACCAAGTTAAGTCGTTATGAAAAATAGACAAATATTGTTCCTCGATTGTAGATGCATGTTCGTATGCTTCTTTAATCAGGTTGTTTTGTAGAAGGTGTTTAAGTAGCCGAACCCATAAGTTCACATCAGTTGGTCTGGTTTCAAGCTCCTTTAATAGCAGTTTAGAGACTTCAGTGGGATTGTCATTTTTTGTAATTATCATCCGCACCAGCAAATTAAATACAGCCGGATTTTCTGGATTAACAGATTGACCCAAATCATAGAAATACTTTGCATCTAGCTTATCCATATCCATGTCATCCGATGTTAGTAATTCACATGCTGGAGGAAAATAGAGAAAAAAATTTAATTTTACCAACAAAAAACTAAACACGATTTATCCTAGTAAATTATTAAATTCAAATTAGTTTCAAGCTATATATTAATTTTATTTTATATTCTTGAATAAAAGTTGTTTTAATTTCTTTAACCGAGTAAACTGTAATTGGAAATTATAGTCATAGACCTTATAAACTAGGACTAAGGTCCGAATTACGCAATTACGCATTATGCGCATTACCTATGGAACCAAATTTGACCGGTCCGAATTAAAAATGTGTACAATAAGTACCAACAATTCAGACCAATGGATGTGTTCATGATGCTACATTTGACATTTCTGTTGACATTTTTAAATGTTGTGTTGTACAGAAGTTATTTCAAAACTGATTAAATGTTTCTACCACAAAAGCCTTTTATGGCAGGAATGACTTTCTTCATTTTAAATCAAACTAAAACTGAAGAGAATTTTATTTCATCTTCAAGCGGCGAAAACTCCGATGATTTAATGGGATCGGTTACCGAAGAAATAATTATTGTTAAAGCTAAAAAGAATAAGGTAAAGGGTTCAGTAAAATTAAGAACTAAAATAGAAGGATATGTGAAAAATATAGTCCCAAGATTTTCCTCAGAAGAATTTAAATCACACCTTATGTGAGTAACCATAACCTTCCGGGTTTCGGGATATTTTGTGCCATAGATTAGGTCAACTTTTGTGCTTTCCCCATCCCTTCCTGGTATAATACTTCATTTTGTAATTTAAGACTTTTGCAATGCATTAATATGCAATAAATTGGTAAGGTTTTACCAGTAAGATAAAATAAGAAATAATGAAAAATACTTAAAATTACATAATGTAATGGTTATGGTCTTAGGATGTATCCCGAAACATTTACTTATGTGTTGGAACAAATAAAGGGACAAATATCTACATCTTATGTATCTGGGCAAAAGCCCATTCCACCAGAGAAGCAATTGCTTATAACACTGATTCTTATAGATAGACACCAAAAGATGACCATCAATCATATGTAAACCGAAAAGGTGTACATTCAGTACACTTACAGGTATAACAATACACTTGATACACTATATGAAATTAATACTTAAAATTTTTACAGGCTGTTTGTAACTGCGGATATTTATTTACATCATGTTTTGCTGGCAATGTCAGTAGTGTTCATGACAACAGAGTTCAGAGTTTTTATGACGTCGCCACTAAGCAAGGTATTTAAAAAATGGGGAAGAGTTTTTTCCAAATAACTCGCACATTCTTGGTGATGCTGCTTACAAACTTATTTATTAACTCCTTATAAAGACAGTGGTCATTTGACTGCAAGACAGAAAAATTATAACTTGCCATTCTTTTGCAAGAAAGGCAATGAAAAGGGCATTTGTTATATTGAAGGGTAGATTTTTAGATTATCTCCCTTTGACAGATAATAATAATAATAATAATAATAATAATAATAATGATAATGATAATGATAATGATAATGATAATGATAATGATAATGATAATGATAATGATAATGATAATGATAATGATAATGATAATGATAAT